AAAGAAATTAAAACTTATAAGTTCTAGTAGAGATCATGAAAAGCATAATTTTACAGAGCTTTAGTCAGTTAGATATATTATCCATATCATGTCAATTAAACCAATCTAATTTTATTTTCTTGTAAGGTATTTACCTTGAACAGACAAATGAAGAGTCCGGTTTTCTGTAATCTCCCCACGTGAATCAAACACTGTAAGTTTATATTCACCACTGTCGTTGTGTTTCAGGTTGTTTATCCTGAATGTTCCATTATCGGGTATAAAATCAGATCTGTCTTTTATTTTATTTGCAGCTGTTATATTTATCCTCCATCGTAGTAATTTTACATTCCCCTTTAACAAGTCAATTCTAATTCCTGAAGCGTTGTGAATCAGCCGTAGAAACACAGTTTCTCCCAAAATCCCGTTACATTGAGCTCCATCATTTCTGGCATCACAGTGAGCTGACAGACCTGAAATAGAAAAAGTAAAAAACATTTTTTACAATTAAAATTGTCATCTTCCAAACACAGAAAAACTGAAATGAAAACAGAAGAATGAGTTTTCTGCGTTCTGACAACTATCCCAGCATGCACGGCGCGTTTCTTCTTCTACGGGCGAAAATGAAGTCGGCAGCTGCTTACCGTAGTTGCTAGACCTGTTGTGGCTCAATATCGGTCCATATATAAGGCGCACCGGATTATAAGGCACACTGTCTGCTTTTGAGGATATTGAAGGTTTTTAGGTGCGCCTTATAGTGCAGAAAATATGGTATAACAGATTTTCTATACTCTTTTCCACTTTGCATTTTCCAATAAATTGATTCTTCAGTCACATTTTTCATATTTATATCAGATAACCATACGTTTTCTTAATCTACATCTTCATAGCAACATTTATAGATAGATATCATATTACATATATTGTGGTCTTCAAGTAATTTATAAGTACTTTAATGCTGTGATTTAGCCTTGATTTTCAGGCCATGCAAGCAGGGAAATATCTTAAACATACAGGGCAATGTGCCCAGAGAACCATGACTGGGAAACACAGATGTAGACAATAAAGTAGGATTTCTGTGTTTCAAAATTTCTATAGTTAGTCTTATTTCTATTGATAAAATGTTTAAAAAGTAAAGTTTGTGTTTGAGAAAACTCCATTTAAAACTAATACTAAGACATGTTTCAGAAATATTGCCACGCTAAGAGTTAAGTTCAAAGACAAAGAAACGAGGAAGAAGATGCGCAAGCTTTGAGAGAACATATAAGCTTTTTCAGGTTTTGCTGCTCTAACTATATGTAAACCTGAGCTGTTCAACAAGAATAAGTTTTTATTTTAAAGCCATTTTATTTGAATTACTGCCCACACAGTATCTAAAGCCCTGATAAAACCCTGATAAAGTAACGTGAAAAATATTTTTAACTCACCCTGAGAGACTCCGAGTAACAGCAGCAACAGTCCAACAGCCGCTGCCATCTTTCTTTATTATTCCAGTCTGTTGATGAGCAGCTCTCAGTAATCTTTGACAAGATCAACGTTTATCTGCTTAATAGGACTGAACTCCTGTCACTGATTAAAAAACTTAATACAGAAAGAATGGAGAGATCTAAGAAGGAAGTGAACATATAGGCTACTTAGGCAAAGACGGAAGCTCATGGCATCACCACACAAAAACTATGACATCAATATTAGAACAACTAAACTGTAGGCAAAAAACCCCAAAAGGAGGAACTTCATTATAAAGCTCTTCTCAAATTATTCATAATTATATACTTTATGGATTTTATCACTTTCTCAAGACTTGAGCTAATCTAACTGGTGATAAATTTTGTTGCAACTTGCTGAAAATATTTATAGGATTATATCATATTAGAGCAGACACAGTTCTACCACCGAAATGCAGGAAATAAGTCTGTGATCAACATTTAGCCTGATTATTTTTACACACCAGCTGTAATAATAGCCGTGTCTTTTGAAGTTGGGCTTCTCTAATAAACCAATTCCCACAGCAATTGTAACTGCTGACTTTATTTTGCTGTGACAAAAGTAATAACCATAACTTAATAAAGTTAACTACTTATTTTTATAGTTGATATGTAGGTAAACTGACATCACAACCAAACATCCAGGCTGTTTTCTGATAGCTCACAACGCAATTACACCCAAGCATATTCCACACACAGACTTTGACTGTAGAGCAATCAAAGTGAAACCTCATGAATTAAATCTACACAAACTGTTTCCTGCCAAACCCCCAGAACCTGGTTCAGCAAGACAGAATACAAATCCTCGCAAAACAGCTGCATAAGAAGCAACTTTAATAAATGTTACTCAACCTTAGGATGGATCTGTCAATTATCCATCTATTTGGTTCAAAGGTGTCAATGATTTAATTATTTTGAGAAAGAGTAAAACTCATTGATGTTTCTTAAGTGATCAGAGAAACATTTATATCTAACCTCCTTTAGTCAGAATCTAACCACAACCATTAGATCAGTACAAGTGTTAGATCCATTCGTCAACAAACCTTCAGACATCTCCAAAATAACAAGAGCTGATCAATATAAAGGCTGTGATTGAACTCCACCCTGCTAAACACAGTTGAAATCAATACGACCACTTAATATTTATAATGAAAGTGTGCAAATTAATTAATCAATGCATGCTATTTCATCTCTGACCACATGGAGGCGTGTCAGGCATATCAGAGCACAAAGAGACAAGAATAAGTGTATTTGTCTCTCTTGGCCAGCAGAGGGAAACCTTGCTCCAACTGACTGGACGGATGTTTTGTTTTAGGCCAAAAAATTATGAGCCAATTTGTTTTTAGGCTGATTTTTTTTTCCCAACGAAAAGGCAAAACAAAACATTTGACAGGTTTGAGTCCATAACAGATTCTAATGTTTGTTTCAAACATCTTGGTTCAGTCAGTGATGGATGACATGTAAAAAACTAGCAAAACAGGAGTGTTATTAATTATGTCCTCTAACATGCATCTTCCATATTTGATTAGCCTTCCAGGGCTTCTTGTCAACTTAAATATTTTTCAGCTATTTGATCAAGTGTTTCAAAAAACGTCTGGGTAATGTGAGGGGAGTGAGGGTAGCTCAAAAATAAAGCTGCAGGACTCGGATCTCATTTTGCAATGACTGTAAAGTTTATGCATCAATCCCTATCATGGGTGAAAGTCTGCGACAGACGAACATGCAGCCTTCTTCTTCTTTCCTTACACAAAATCTGGACTTCACATAAACCATTTAGCCTTTCCTCAAAGGGGTTACCCACCTACAATAGATGTGCTTTTAATACTAAACAAGCCTCTATTGTTACTTTGATATTACCTCTGCCTCAAACTAACACTCAAAAAGAGCAGCTGTGTACAGAACAATTTCTCACTGGAACATGTTGCCATTTGTAACTACATTATTGCTGAATACTAAAAAAAAAATGTCTTAAATGACCTATAATAGATAATGAAATAACATTGAATTTGTGGAATGTGTGAATTTATACTCAAAATGAAGATTGCTGCTGTTTTGTGTTTTGATCTTGTTTTTGTGCTCTTTTGTAATGATTGTAAAATGTCAGTTGTTGAGATGGTTTATTTTAATTTTTGTGTTTTAATTTTGTTCATGTTAAGGTATTATGTCTTTTGTGTAATGTTTGCAAAAGCATGACTTTATTGTATTGTTTGTGATTTTGATCCCATAAAGAATAGTCTCTACTAGAGTAGAGATTAATTTGGATGCTAAAATAAATTGAGGGGGCAGTAGTGGTTGCTGGTTTGATTCCTGTTCCACCAATTGTGCCCTTTGAGATGTCAATTGCTTAAAAAGGACATTATACCTAAAATTATTATTATTATTATTATTATTATTATTATTATTATTATTATTATTATTATTATTATAAATAAACACACTGGACAGGCTGTCAGTCCATCATAGTGCAACACAGACACACAGCCATTCATGCACGTACTCATACTTAAGGGCAAGCAATTTAGATCAGGGGTCAACATCTCCAACTAGAGCTACTGAACTGCAGCTTTTACATGTGACCCTGCTCCTGATTTGCCAAATTAGTTTCCAGTAATTTGGCAGACTTGAAGGGATGCTGAAGAGGTAACTCAATTATTTTTTGCCAACTATATCAGTTGGTCAGTGTTTACTTTCTCCTCGGCTCCGTTCCGTCTCCTCTCACAGCTGCTCATTGTTTGTATGTTACTGTACCATAAAAAAGTATTGTACACCAATTACTGAAGTACTTTATCCACCTTAAACAAAAATACTTAGGTTGTAGAGAAGTCATTTATTTATATATTTATACTTGTCAAAAGTTAGGTTCCTATTTAGTAATGTCTTTTCCTGAGTCAGCATGACAAATTAAAATAGAGTTTTAAAAATGGGCCTTGTCAGTTCATCAGCTTTCTACTTCCGTTGCATGTTCAAGAGTTGCACAGGGCCTGTAATCAACACTACTGTCACTGTCACTATGCGACAAGCAGCATCCATTACAGACGGGCCCATTACAAGACCGGCAGAGACACAAGCAAAGCTTCATGTTTGCTTATAAAACCATCGAGTTCATGAAAGCCAAGCATTTTGAAAACATAACTTTTTGACAATTGTTATATAACAAGCTTAATGAATTTTTTAAATTTCAGTATTTCAAACTCTTGATGCTAAACATTAAAGCACGTTGTTGCATCCATGTCTGTGCCTGCTTTTTCATGCAGGGTTGGGTAGAAGGTGTGGTAGATCCCAGACAGGTTTCCAATATATTTCAGAGCAGCACGGATATAAATACAGCAAAAATCATTCACACACGCACGCACGCACACACCCACACACCCACACACACACACACACACACGCACACACACACACACACACACACCTTAAGGCATTTTTGAGAGACCAACTAACCTATCTGGCATTTTTTTTTTTGGCAAATAACACTTGTAGACACCTCACTGTCGTGTTTGTTGAAGACCCAAAAGACAGCAGGACAAGGGGATGTGAATGGCATAGTGGAAGTTTAATGAAAAAGAAAAAGAAAAACCTACAGAACATGAGAAAACCAAACAGGTGCATAGCAGCAGGAAATGATTGTAAGAGAGAGAGTTAAATACTGAGGCATATGATTACCAGAGTGAAATGAGTGTGATAGCAGAATCAGTCAGCTGTGACAGTAACATGCTGAGGAAACTGAAGCAAAAGGTTACAATAAAATTCAGATACTGGAAAAAGAGGACTTAAATTTAAGCAGGAACTGAACTCTACATAAATATAATTAAAGACTAAAAGTCAGAGCTGAAAATAAATTCAGGCACAGAACAAAAAAAGCAAGAGGGATCTTAAAACTAAGGGATGCACGTAATAAAGAAAGCAAATGAAACAGAACAGTAGCTAAGTTCCTTAGTTATGCATGTTTGTTGCATTCATAGTTCTAAAAAGATTTGTTTCATTGTAACCAGTAACAGGAAGAGAGATGAGGAACAAAACATTTTAATGCAAAAGACAGCACACAGATTTGCATAAACACTCTGAGAATCAGACAGCAAGCCTTCAAATATGGATGGATGGAGATTGCTTCCCATCCTCCTTGTTTCTGTTGTCGTTTTGCAGTCGCTGCAAACTTCCCAAATTCCTTACATAGGTTTTTTTTTTTGTTTTTGTTTTTTTTCAGAGATTTGCGTAGATACTGTCATCCACATTTCCATACACACTGTTGTCCATATTTCCATATATCACATCATCAGACCTCCGAGGTTGCTTTTTAACTTTGCCGTACTCCGCTGGGATATCTCTGCTCAGCTCCTGTCGCCTCCTCACCTGATCAGCACTGGTCTGATTTTGGCCATAATTATTTTCTTCTGAAGAAGAGCAGCAAAGAGAGGCACAAGATTAACATCATAATTATGAGCTTCATGTTTGCTTATGAAAACTTAGAAAATTGTGATAAATGGTACCTTTGTAGTTTGGCTTTTTCTTCTTCATACAGAAAATTCCTATGCTGACAACAAGGATGATTAACAGAGCTCCAAGTGCACCACTTACTATTGGCAATAGCGCTGTTTAAAAGTGAAGAAAGAAAAAAGATTTTTAAGAAAGGTAATGTGATTTCATGAATATTTGTAATTCAAAATATAAATAATACCTTATCAAATTCTCTACAAAAGAGGTTTTCACTTCATAAAATACCAACATAGACTTAAAGTTGTGTTTCTAAATCTGCCATCTTACCCATAATATTATGTGTCTGTGGTAGAAGTTCAACACACCGAGTGTTGTTATCTTTAAACACCCACTTAGATATGTGTACACCATTTGAAGTGCAGTTCACAAAGTCTGTATTCCAAAAGAAGCAAAGAAAAAATATTATTTACATGGCGATCAGAGCTTTTAATTTTAAATAATCTATTTTTGTCCAGGAATTTCCCCACTCACGACAGGTAGATGTGATTTTCTCTTTGAGAAGCGTATTGGCATTAGTCCTGACTGAGCAAACCACTCGACCTGCAACGTTTGGTCTCAGGACGATGGTGTTAGACTCACTATTTCCAGAGTGGAGCTCACGGTTTGAAGGTTTTTGTCCATTCAGAGTCCAGCTGTATCGAGGATTGTTCCCTCCTTCAGAGAGACAAGACACATTCACCTGTCCTTGGGACAAACACTCAGCGAACAGCTGGACAGAGGTCACAGGAACTGAAGGAGAAATTACAACCAATTTAGAAAATATTTAATTTTCAATGAAGAGCAGAAAAGGCATCAGTGGTTGAATCAAGCTCCCTGTTGAATGAGGGATACATTATGTGTCTCAGTAAAGTATAAGAATGAAATCTGTTTTTAAAACTATTAGGTACGTTCTTGTGACTTTATTTAGCTGTAGAAAAAACTTGACTCACCTTCAAGAGACAAATGAAATGTTCGACGTTCTTTCATCTTTCCATCAGAATCAAATATTTCCAGAACATATTCACCACCATCAGTCATCTTGAGATTTCCGATACTAAATGTACCATTACTTAGAATCAAGTGATATTTGTCTGAAAGGGGACCCAAAATAACTTCATTCTTTCTTATCTTAAGGATTATTGACGCTGTATGTTTTATTTGATAACTCTGCGATTCTGAGACGCTGTCCACCAGTTTGACACACACAGTTCCTCCCAGGGGTCCAAAACACAGAGTTCCATTCTGTCGGCCATCACAGAAACTTTCTACTCCAGCAAAGGCTTGAAAGACAAAAAAAGCAAAATTATATTTATGCTTTTGTTCTTACGTAAAGTGCTGATTGCTTGTTTCTGTATTCAAATAAGCATCACTTCCTGCTTCCTGAAACTTTTGCCTTACTTTATGTCACGTTCCCATTTCTTATTTGTTTTCTCCATTTATGTGTCGTTTATTTAAATAGAACAACTCATTCAGTTAATTCCTTTATATGAAAAAAAAACAATTATAGGACCAATCATGTGCTTTTTTACAAAGGAGTTGTGATACTCAACTGAAACAGACAATGCTACGAAACTTTTCTACGAAATTAAAAGTACCACCAAGCCAAACACGTATTATGTGTTACACTTACTATTATCAAGACAGTCTTACTTCCTATCCATAGACATGCACGCTCTTCAATAATGTTCCCGTCTGTATCAGATTGAAGTCAAATGAAACGCAGCATTTTAAACCTGCCATAAAAAACAAAATACTTTCTCACCACAAGACATGCAAAGTAGCAACACAAGTAATCCAGCAACAGCTTCAATGACTGCAGAGCAGTTTCCAGGCCCCATTGTTCAACAGTGAACTGGGTAAAATGTCGTGCTACGAATCAGCCTGAGAAAAAAAAAAAAAAAAAAAAAAAAGATGCTTGTACTGACATGAAAAAAGGAAGTGATGATAACTTAGTCACCTCTAGACTAAAAGACGGAACACCTTTCTCCAACCAGGTTGTATTATTTTTTTTAGTGGTAAAAACTAAACAACTTTTAATTTCTATTTTGTAATGACAGAAGAGCATCACCATATAAACTTTATGTGGTTAGTGTAACACATATTAGCACTTATTTGGGATCAGTGACTGTAACAGAGGGGAAAAAGCAACAAGTGGTTTTTAAGACTTTTTATAAATACAATTCTGGAACATGTGCCATTTGTATTTGATGGTGATTGAAATTAAAAACTGGTTAACTTGGCAAGAGCAATACACAAACGTGCTTCCTAAATGAAGCACAGGCAGGAGAGACTCTAGAGACCAAACAGATGGTGGATGAAGATTAGGTTATCTGACACATTGCAACATACAGAAAGTATAAAAGTTAATCTTTCTCACGGTTTTAAGATTGTAAAGTTGTTGTTTTTTTAGTTTAAATAAAAGTAACTTGCAGGGAATGTTTAAATGTTCCCTGCAATGTTTAAACAACACATTTTGTGACTGTTTATGTTGTGATCTGGATGATTCGTCAAACTACGTGCACTGACTGCAATTAAACCATAGAAGTTATTCTTAGGAATTGATGCTTGTGGGGGTTTTTTTATGTAAATGAAGGAAGTGTAGGCAACTTATTTTTGTTCCTCAAAACTGCAGAGACCAGTAAAATGTAAATCTTAAAAGTAACACTTAGACAGAAAACCTCACAAAAGTGCTCTGCAAGGCAGGAAACGCAAAGCGCATTTAAAGGGAAAGAGTTACTAGTACATCTAGCAAAGTTATGCTCTGCTCTGTTCAAAAGGTGAACAGAAACAACATAATAACAGAATTGTAACACTTTAGAGCTGCTATTTAAAAAAAGCATTGAGAGAGCATTTGGGTAAGAATGTGTGAGCATCTTTTTACTTGTTTACTGTCTTGTGTGTCTTGCCTGTCAGTAACTACCTAAACAGGCAATTACTGCCTGAATTGCCTGTCCAGGATGTAGGACAGCTGGCAAAGTTACCTTCCCAGCAGATCCCTGAAAAGGATAAGTGGGAACAGGAAGTGAGCGAGAGAGAGAAAACTCAAAGGTTTGCACTGAATACCATCTTTTTCTTTGGGTCTAACCATCTATTTCCTTTTCTTAACCCAAACAAGGCGTTCTCTTTCAAATCTCATTTTGTGTCTAACTATGAAGCGACCAATCATGCAAGAGCTACGAGAATCAAGTCTGTGAGTGACAGCCCAGTTACAGGTTTGGAATGGTATAAAGTTACTTTTGTAATTTTTTCTACCTTTTTCTTTTTTACTGTAATAAGGTTTTCACACATTTAAATTGATGGTTTACAAATGCGTTGATCTGAGCAGTGTATAAAATGAAACTGCAAGCAAAACAGACTGTTTACATTCAAGTACTTAGGTTGTTTATTGTTAGG